CCTTTAAGAAGAATCTTGTCTGCCATCTGCTGGACACTTTTTGTTGTGCTCATATTTAGACCTCCTATTTTGCAAATGCTGCCTTTTTGAAATTTGGTATGCYTGTTTGCCTTTGTGTCTATGGTGTAATAATAATGATGTGATTGTGATGCTGTAACTCTGAGTGTTGTATGTGCTGCAGAACAGGAACCTGCTGTAAAACAGCAATTATGCTGAGTCAGGCTTGATTTTTAATAATATTTTCCTTTTAAATGAATAAATCAAATCAAATCAATTTATTTTTTATGATTCCTTACATGTATTTTCATGTTTTCAGTGTCCTTATATTCATATGTTTCACCTGCCACTCTTCCTCAGTATTTTTCCTCAGTTCAGCTCCTGCTCCTCAGTCCTGCCACACCCACTCATKATGGAGCCATGTCTCATTTGGCCCAGCTGTTCCACATCTCCTGGTTAGCCTCAGTTGAATTACCCCTCTACAGTATGTTCWGTTCAGTATTCAGCAGCGCATTGTTGCTTAATGCTACAGTTCGGCAAGCTTGTGTTCGTAGTGCTTATCCTTGTAAATCTTGTTGTGTCTTCCTGTGACTTTGTGTGATTTGAATAAGCTGATATTTCTATGTTTTGCTTTGTTTTGATTTTCTAACTCTTTGAGTCGTGTCTGCATTCTGGGTTCAATCTTTCTACCAACCACAACACTACTTGTTTGTGTTTAAAGATTATCAACTGTTTTTCAGGAATGATTCACCATGCTCATTGTTTTGAACACACAATATYTGTATGCATTTAAAGTTCAAATAACCACTTTAAAATTTGCATTGTGCTCAATCGYTTGTCACATTCTAGGCTCACCTGTTTCTGGGTCACACTGGTGTTCGCAGGGATCCAGTAGGCGTCGTCCACACAGCTCGTTGAGCCATGGCCCGCTGGCATTCTGCTGGTAGTACAACAAGATCTGGGCTGGGTTGAGCCAGTCGGAAGCATCCAATTGGCTCCCTTGCAGCAAAATAAACCTTGATCCTAACAAGGACAGAAGAATGGAAAGTGTTGGAAAGAAACAGGATGTACGATTGGAAAAAGAAGATGAGAGGTATGCAAGAGTGAAGCAATAAGTTCAGTAAATAGAAATAAAACAACAAAAAAATCCAAGTGAAATAACTTTTCAAAATGTCTAATGAGAGTGCTAAGGAAAAACAAAAAAACAAAACAAGGATCCAGCCCTTCATAGACCTCATAACTAAAGTCTGAAGACATTGTGAAAAACAATAAACTGCTCTAAAATAAATTAACTAAACAAACACCTAGAATTTGTTAAAGTTCATGATTTTAGAGAAGCTGATATTCAAGGGTGGAAACCTGAGTCAGTTTTAGTATATCAGGGGCAAGATGACAAACCTGGACAGCTTCAAAATGAAAATAAAAAAAAATAGAATGTGAAACCTTTAGAAAACATAGAATTATTAATAATAAAATCAATACTACTTTATTCAATT